TTTATTCTGAAATTTAAGAGTCCAGATGGACACCATGGATATACTCTCTAAACTTATTTGAAATATTTATTTAAAGGATAAAGAATAATAATAATAATAATAAAGGGATTGAAGAGATAGTTCAGATTTATGTTCCCTCTTTAGAATTCAAACTAGATTAGTGGCCCGAGAAAGCAAAAAAAAATTTCAGCTTAGAAAAAAATGCTCAGAATTTTTTTTTAAGAATCTAACAATAAAATAAAATAAAATGAACCTAAGTTGAGCTTACCTGGGTTATTAAACAACTCTAATATTGAAGAGCGAAACAAAAAATAATTTTAAAAAACCTGAATTAAAATAGATTAACTTACAAATTTCACGATCATTAACATAAGATTAAAATAATCTTATAAAGAAAAAAATACAAAAAAAAAATATTTAAAATTCAATTCCTAATAAATCAGATGAGAACATGAGAACTAAAGAATGAAAAATAAAAAGAAAAAAGCTGAAGTTAAATCTCCAACAAATAAAATGTTGACAGATAAAAATTAAAAAAAGAAGATAAAAATGATGAAAAAACTGATTTGTGCCCATTAGGATTAAGATGCAAATTATATGACCTAGTTATGATACTAGAATGACCACATTTGAAAGAAAATTGAATATAATCATGAAACTCAATTATCAAACAACTTAATGTTGAAAAATAAAAAATATAATATAATTTAAAAAGGCAACAAGAAAAAATATGAGTTAAACTAGGTTTACCTGCAAACCCTACAATCATAGACATATGATTGAAATAAACTAATAAAGAGAAAGGAAAAGAAAAGGTATGAAGACCACTTTTCAATAAATCAAATATTAGAAGATAAAATAAAAATAAATCAATTTAAAAAGAACAAAAATAAAATAAAAATACACCAATTTAAAAAAGAACAAAAAAAAGCAACCCCTGTTAATCTCTAAAACTACTGACTTTAATCATGAACCCGAGACTAATCTCATAGTAGAAAAATTGTAAAAACTAAAAATGCAAAACTAAAAAAAAAAGATATAGAAATAAAAAAGCATTATCTTTAAGGAAAAAGAAGAAAAACTAAGGAAACCTGAGCACACCTTTTAAACCTGGTCCAATTTCGAAAACTCACAACCGATAAATCTCTCAAGAAACTTAATTCTCAATTAATTTAATTTTAAAAGATAAAATCATAAAAAAAATATTAATTTAAAAAAGTTGATAAAGAAAAAAAGATAATAATAAAAAATAGAGATCAATTTGATAGAAAAAAACTCATGGAGGATGAAATTATATATATAAACAATCTAAAAAATGATCCCAAAAAAACAAAATTGCAATCAAAACAATAGAGATCAAATTTAAAAGATAAAAAAAATAAAAAGGGTAAAATTGAAGAACATTTATAATTTTATGAGGCAAGCATGTTTTATTTTTCTTTGAAAAAAAATGTGACTTCGGCCATATACCTAACAAAGAAAAAAAAAGGTTGCATATGGAAAATATAAAAAAAATATAGCAACCTGAAAAAATAAGTAAAAAAAATCATATACAAGGCTAATAATAATAAAAAAAATTGTAATCATTAATTATATAAATATTGAACAACAAAAGAGAAAGTTATTGGCTTAAAAACAAAAAACAAAACTGGGTTAAACTTTTAAAATTAGACAAATATCTCAAACTTATAATCCATTAAATGTTTTAAACTTGTAACCCATTAAATTCTAGATCAGGCTGGATAAAAAAGCTTAATTCTTAACTAATTTAATATTAATTAGTGAAAGTAAATCCAATAAATAAAAACAAATAAAATCACTAAGAAAACCTGAGTTATTTTTTAGATCAATGAAAAATTCTAGAGAAAAAAAATAAATTTAAAATGTTATTTCAAATAAAATAAATAAATTTAAGGATAAATCAGGAAAAGATATTAATTTCAAGAATTAGCCCAAAAAACCCAATAAAGAACGATAAATAAAAGGCTCAAGATAACCAGGTTATTTTCAAAACCAATAAAAAAAATTAGTAGAAAACAAGGTAAAACAATATATAACCCAATTTCCAGTTGAATACGGGCAAAAAATTAACTTAGACAAAGGAAAGTAAAAAATTAAGCACATCTGGAAAATATCATAAAATTGATCAAATCTTTAAAATTCATAAATCATGAAATTTTAAATTTATATTTAATCAAGAAGTTTATTACGAACTAATTTAAAAAATTTGTCAAAGCAAAAAAATAAAAAATAAAAATTAAATTATTTGACAGGAAAAAAACAAAGAAGAATGAAATTCTAAAGAAAAAATAATTTAAAAAATAATTTTGAATAAAAAATTAACAATTAAAAAAATAATGATCAAATTTAATAGATAAAAAAAAATAAAAAAAAATAAAATAAAAAAAACATACTAATTTTATAAATTATTCAAGATAATAAAATTATAATAAAAAATAAAAATAAAATATAAAGAATTAAAAAATCAAAGTGCGAGTTGTTAAAGATCTCTAGTGTGAAAATCTAAATCTAAAAAGAGAGAGAAGAGAGGAGACAAATGGTTATCAACACCACATCATTAGGAATCTGGAAACACGAGCTGTAACATTACATCCGGCGCCATGACAATTTCAACAATGTTAGTGATGGTTGCTTTGAGAAGTTTGTCTTTAGAGGGCTTGACTTTAGGGATTTGTTCTTGCAAGGTTTTTTCACATAATTGTTCATCGAGGTATGCAATTCTTGATCCAAACATGGTAAATATTGCAAGTGTTTGTTATTTTACTTCATTTTATTTTGTAC